GTACACCCAAGCAAACACCTTTGACAACACCACCACGACATGGTCAAAATAAAAGAAACCTGGGATACCACTGAATCCTCTAGGGTTCCTGGAGCTTCCGTTTAAGCTTAATAAAGGAAATTTACACAATTCGTAACATGCACTCTAGCTTTGTATTCTAGGAATTCTACATCCAAAGCTTCTCTACAAATGCACAGAGACATCACATGGTCAATTCTTCCGACAATGTCGGGATGTAGTAATCTAAGGTGTTGCTTGGGAGTACCCAGAGCATAGGTTCGAATCCACCTCACGGCTCCTACTGATTTTCTCATTGATACATGACGTTAATGTGATATCATTGTGCGTTGTACTTCATGCTATAACGATGAGTGTTCTGGTAATATACACGTGAAAGATACTGTTGAGAGATATGATAGTGAGTGTATCTAAATACACTGAACACTAAGGATGTCGTAACAACAATTAGATGGGTTTAAACATCAAAGAATTACGACTCTTCAGCATCCTGTCAAAAATATACAAAATATCTCTTACAAGAGGTAAGTTTGTGGTGGAGTTAGCAGATCAGCCTGACTGTGATGGCTGTGTGGGGACCTGCGGGCTACGAACATAAACAGCCTCATGAACCAGGCATTCACCAGGGGACGTCTGGCCCCAGGCCAGACTGCAAGAGTAGGGTAACTAAAGATATCTCTACACAGCTAAAGCCCTCGTACAACCCTGCAGCAGCCGTCACCACCCTGGACAACCCTGCAGCAGCCGTCTCCACCCCTGGAGTCTTGAAAATGTACTCTAGAAAAATGAGAGCGGTATTGCATAATATATACATGTAGACTACTGGAAGGCCAGGGAGGCCAGGTATGGACACAACTGGAAGGTCCCAAATGTGCACAACACAACAGCCTGGTTGTGTGAGAGAGATGGGAGGAACTGTAGCCTGCGCCCAGTGAGGCGTACAGGTGCCATCACCACAGTCAGTGAACACTGTGTGTGGCTCTTCACTCTCACAACAACTGTAAGAAATATTGCGTAACAAAAGTGACCGTGATCAAGAATGGGAAGTTTCACCAAGGGATGGCGAACCTCCCGTGATGAAGGCTTGCGGGCCGCTCCAAGCAGGAGCTCATGGATCACATTATCATAAGAAATCTCTAACTTAAATTACTGTGAAAGAACAGTCATGTTTAGCAGCGTGTTAAACAACACAAGCTTGAAGGCCCAGGCGCGCGTCATCAATGACAACTTACACAATTGAAACCATAAAAGATATCAACACTAAACACAGTTGACTAAACAAGATATTGACATTACTATACCTGTGGCACACCTTCCCCCCCCCCCATTACACAAGGTAGGTAGTAAAGCAATATATAATGTATTACCGTCGCATTAACGTCATTAAGGTCTTTGAGAGATTGATAATGGAGTCAGAACTACGCAATCCAGGTCAACGCGGATTTAGATCTGGATAAATACAGGTACAGTTACTTGTGTCTACCGTGTCTGCTCCTGGCGTCGTGTCTGCTCCTGCCGTCGTGTCTGCTTGTTGGGCGTCTGAGGCGACGTGGTGGGATTACTCGCTGCATATTTTTGATGCAAGTGGTGCATTTACATAGTAACCTTCCCTGTGTTGGACTGTCGTGTCTGTGAGCAGACTCATTGGGGGTCGTCAGCACCACCACCACTAGCCGTAGTAGCAGCGCCAGCTCAGACTGAAGCACCAGAAGCTGAGAAAGCAGCACGGAGCGCAGCAGCAGGAGCAGCAAGGAGCGAGGAGGCGGCGGCGATATGCTCGGTTGACTGCTTCCTCTGATGATTGAAAATTAGCCATGTGGTGTGGCGGTAGTCGCCGGCCGTGACGACCCCCCCCCCCCCCATCCCCACCTTGTAGCTGGCCCCTCTATCCTGCCCCACCACTTCCCCTCACCGCTCCACCTTCCCTTCTCTCCCCCTTTCATATCCCTTCACTCATTTTCCCCCCTCTATTCCAAGCACCCGCGCTTCCCAACTCCTTCCCATATCTTCACTCTCCCTTCTCCATATCTCTCCCACTTGATTATCTCTCCCTATTACTTCCCCTCCCTACTCGTGTTCAACCCTTTTACCCACTCTCGCTAGTCCTTCACTACTCTCACCCTTCCTAACTTCCCCATTTCATCTAAACTTTTACATTCCCATTTCACCTCTTTACTCTCCTTACAGTGAAACCCCATCCCCTCTCCCTTCCCTTGGCCCCCCTCACATTTGCCTTCCCTTGTTCGTTTCCGCCCCCCCCCTCACCCCCCACCCCTCCCCCTAAGTATCACCCTGTTCATAACTGTTAGTCTTGTTGTGTTACCAATATTCTCTCTCCACTCTCCCCTTACATATATATAGGGCTGCAAGCCCCTATATATATATATATATATATATATATATATATATATATATATATATATATATATAATAGAGAGAGAGAGAGAGAGCGCGAGAGCACACGTACACACACGTACACACACACGGGGATCAGCCAGGGAAATAAGAGTGTGAGTAATGCCAGTATTGAAGACAAGGGAGGCCCTACACCAGTGATGTACTCCACACAGCACTGGTGCTATCTGGCCTGTTGGGTCCTCGCTCCCCCCCCCCTCCTTCCCTCAAGGCAGACCACATACACGCCAACTACAATTTAATAAAATCCATTATTACTAGCATAGAATCAGTTAAGTACCTAAACTACAGGTATCGACTCAAGACACTCAAATTCTACATAGAGAAAATCTATATATATATATATATATATATATATATATATATATATATATATATATATATATATATATATATATATATATATATATATATATAATATGGTATGAAAACCATATTTGCTGCAGTCTGATGTTTACTTGATGCTTGCTTGTTGCCCTCCTGGTACAGCATACATTTATTTATTTATTTCTGCATATACAAGAAGGTACATTGGGATTGTGAGGATACATAATATGGTAATTACAATCTTGTAAAGCCACTAGTACGCGCACCGTTTCGGGCAGGTCCTTAACTGGAGCCGGTCGGCCGAGCGGACAGCACGCTGGACTTGTGATCCTGTGGTCCTGAGTTCGATCCTAGGCGCCGGCGAGAAACAATGGGCAGAGTTTCTTTCACCCTATGCCCCTGTTATCTAGCAGTAAAATAGGTACCTGGGTGTTAGTCAGCTGTCACGGGCTGCTTCCTGGGGGTGGAGGCCTGGTCGAGGACCGGGCCGCGGGGACACTAAAAAGCCCCGAAATCATCTCTAGATAATCCCTTCATACTACGGTCACCATTCCCTTCCCAGCCGTGTGGAGGACCGTCCCGGTGTGGAGGACATCCTCGTCATATTATACTGTTTTCAGGCCAGAACAGTTAATGTTAATTGGGTAGAGAGTGATATAGATTTCGGAGGGTGAGGTGCGGAGCGTGTTGGGCCACACTCACTGACCCGTCGTTCACTTCTTCCTGTTCGTGTTTCATTCTTGGTGTTATCTTGGCGTGACCTCCGTGACGTGTTGACCTCATTAAATACACCTGATATACAAAATACAAAAATGATACAAAATACAAATAGATTGAGCAGCTTAGTCTTATTTCTTCCCTCCAAAAATACACACATACTTTTCATTAAGAAACTGCCGTGACGCGACTTCTGTAAGTCTGTAAAGGCTACCGCCCCCCCCTTCCCCTCGGTAAAGGCCAACGCCCCCCCCCTCCCCTCGGTAAAGGCCAACGCCCCCCCCCTTCCCCTCGGTAAAGGCCAACGCCCCCCCTCCCCTCGGTAAAGGCCAACGCCCCCCCTTCCCCTCGGTAAAGGCCAACGCCCCCCCCTTCCCCTCGGTAAAGGCCAACGCCCCCCCTCCCCTCGGTAAAGGCCAACGCATCCCTCCCCTCGGTAAAGGCCAACGCATCCCTCCCCTCGGTAAAGGCCAACGCCCCCCTCCCCTCGGTAAAGGCCAACGCCCCCCCTCCCCTCGGTAAAGGCCAACGCTCCCCTCCCCTCGGTAAAGGCCAACGCCCACCCTCCCCTCGGTAAAGGCCAACGCCCCCCTCCCCTCGGTAAAGGCCAACGCCCCCCCTCCCCTCGGTAAAGGCCAACGCCCCCATCCCCTCGGTAAAGGCCAACGCCCCCCCCTCCCCTCGGTAAAGGCCAACGCCCCCCTTCCCCTCGGTAAAGGCCAACGCCCCCCTTCCCCTCGGTAAAGGCCAACGCATCCCTCCCCTCGGTAAAGGCCAACGCCCCCCTTCCCCTCGGTAAAGGCCAACGCATCCCTCCCCTCGGTAAAGGCCAACGCCCCCCTCCCCTCGATAAAGGCGTATACCTGGTCTCTCGCTGGTTTACGGGCTATTCGTGCCCGTGCAACCTCTTGGGTGACCTAATCTTCATCAGTCAATGTGACTGGTGGCCAGTGTTCCTATATTCTCCCTACGAGTCATACCTCTCCTGCACCTCTTTCCAAACTAAATGTTTCTTATCTTATAAGTTTTTCTAAGAACTTGCCTAATGTTTCTTGAAGACGTCCACCCTTGTTCCGGCCTCTCCAGGTATGATCAGGTATGGTCTCCAGGTATACTCTCTAGGTATTATCAGGTATGGTCTCCAGGTATGGTCTCCAGGTATGATCAGGTATACTCTGCAGGTATGATCAGGTATACTCTGCAGGTATGAACAGGTATGATCAGGTATACTCTCCAGGTATGATCAGGTATGGTCTCCAGGTATGATCAGGTATGGTCTCCAGGTATGATCAGGTATGGTCTCCAGGTATGACCAGGTATACTCTCCAGGTATGACCAGGTATGACCAGGTATACTCTCCAGGTATGACCAGGTATACTCTCCAGGTATGACCAGGTATACTCTCCAGGTATGACCAGGTATACTCTCCAGGTATACTGTGGCTTGGGAATACCAGTTAGTAGTTAGTGTTATGGTTTTCATTAAGCATTGAAAATGTTAAATATTTTATTACTAATGTACAGTTTCTTGTCCCGCTGCAGGTAAGACGCCAGCCGCTCTGGTCCGGGGAGGTGGTGACGGGTGTGTACACGGGTGGTGACGGGTGTGTGACGGAAGGTGAGTCTTGGTGACGTGTGTGTGACGGGTGTGTACACGGGTGGTGACGGGTGTGTGACGGCAGGTGAGTCTTGGTGACGGGTGTGTGACGGGAGGTGAGTCTTGGTGACGGGTGTGTGACGGAAGGTGAGTCTTGGTGACGTGTGTGTGACGGGAGGTGACGGGTGTGTGACGGCAGGTGAGTCTTGGTGACGTGTGTGTGACGGGAGGTAAGTCTTGGTGACGGGTGTGTGACGGGAGGTGACGGGTGTGTGACGGGTGTGTGACGGCAGGTGAGTCTTGGTGACGGGTGTGTGACGGGAGGTAAGTCTTGGTGACGGGTGTGTGACGGAAGGTGAGTCTTGGTGACGTGTGTGTGACGGGAGGTGAGTCTTGGTGACGTGTGTGTGACGGGAGGTAAGTCTTGGTGACGGGTGTGTGACGGGTGTGTGACGGCAGGTGAGTCTTGGTGACGTGTGTGTGACGGGAGGTGAGTCTTGGTGACGTGTGTGTGACGGGAGGTAAGTCTTGGTGACGGGTGTGTGACGGGAGGTGAGTCTTGGTGACGTGTGTGTGACGGGAGGTGAGTCTTGGTGACGTGTGTGTGACGGGAGGTGAGTCTTGGTGACGTGTGTGTGTGACGGGAGGTAAGTCTTGGTGACGTGTGTGTGACGCAAGATAAGTCTTGGGGGACTCCTCCCTACCCACTGACCATCAACTAGGTCTGAAATTTTTCAACCCACAGCCAACGTTCCAACATTTCGTGTTTCATTCTTGGTGTTATCTTGGCGTGACCTCCGTGACGTGTTGATCTAATTAAATACACCTGATAGACAAAATACAAAATGATACAAAATACAAATAGATAGATAAAGCAATAGCAGCTTAGTCTATTTCTTCCCTCCAAAAATACACACATACTTTTCATTAAGAAACTGTCGTGACGCGACTTCTGTAAGTCTGTAAAGGCTACCGACCCCCCCCCTCCCCCTCGGTAAAGGCCAACGCCCCCCTTCCCCTCGGTAAAGGCCAACGCCCCCCTTCCCCTCAGTAAAGGCCAACGCCCCCCCTCCCCTCGGTAAAGGCCAACGCCCCCCTCCTCTCAGTAAAGGCCAACGCCCCCTCCTCTCAGTAAAGGCCAACGCCCCTCCTCTCAGTAAAGGCCAACGCCCCTCCTCTCAGTAAAGGCCAACGCCCCCTCAGTAAAGGTCAACGCCCCCCCTCCCCTCGGTAAAGGCCAACGCGCCCCCCTCCCTCGGTAAAGGCCAACGCGCCCCCCCCTCCCTCGGTAAAGGCCAACGCCCCCCCCCGTCCCCTCAGTAAAGGCCAACGCCCCCCTCCCCTCGGTAAAGGCCAACGCGCCCCCCCTCCCTCGGTAAAGGCCAACGCCCCCCCCCCCCCTCCTCTCCGTAAAGGCCAACGCCCCCCCCCTCCTCTCCGTAAAGGCCAACGCCCCCCCTCGTCGGTAAAGGCCATCGCCCCCCCCCCCCCGGGTCCTGGTCGGGAGCCAGGCGATGCGAGCTTGTGGACTTATAAAACATTACACAACTATGTTTACGCTGGACTTGTGCTCCTAGTTAATAAGACACACACACACACACACACACACACACACACACACACACACACACACACACACACACACACACACACACACACACACACACACACACACACACCGTGCTCACTATACACTCCTCACCGTGTTCTTATGGACGGTGTCACAGTGTTCAGTCATCACAGTTATGTGGCTCCGCTAAAGCTGTGTATATCTAATATTTCTTGATCACGTCGTGGTGGATCACCAAGGTCCGTGAAGAGTTGTTTGGCTCGAGGGATGCCAGCAGCAACAGTCTGGCTGATCAAGGATGCCCAGAGCACCAGAAGTAATCTACTGACCGTCTTGTGATATAGTACTACACTGAATATTTAGGACGTGCTTGACGAAGGACTTGTGTTGCAGACCATTGGTATGTTGTTGTTTAAGATTCCCTACTTGGAACAAAAAGTTCCAAGTAGCACGGGCTATGGTGAGCCCGTAGTGGACTTTAACCACTGGTAATGGAACTCACACGAGCGTTCTCTTGGTTCAAGTCTACTAGTTTCCCCATGCAGCACATTCCACCAGTTGCTTATAAGCAAGGCCACCATTCTTCAAGCATTACTCAACCACTTGCGAAAGCTCTACATCCTCCCTTAATCTTGACACATTTGCTTGCATATATTAAACAGTTTACGCTCTTCAAACCCTCATAACCCAAGACTGTTGTTTTGATAAACAACTTCGTAATGCCTCGGAGCTCAGAACTGTTTTATAAATGTAAACAGCGCCGCCATGATTGAGGAAAGATGTATGGGTTTCGTAAGTGGTTGCTTAAATGCTTGATCAATTCTGGCCTTGGTTGGTAGTTACTGCAGGTTGAACAGGTGGCAAACAGTTCGGTGCTTAGTCGCCTGTCCAGGGGTCGAATCCAAGAACCCATGACTAGAGTATGTTTACATAATCATGTCAACTATCACCTGAAGTACTCCTAACTACTTCAGGTAGTGTTTGAAGTGCTTTCCAAGTTATTTTAGAATTAAAACTCACAAGTAATATGCATTTTTTTTTTGGGGGGGGGGGGTTAAAGAGGAAGGAGAGGCATAGGTGAAGGGAAGTGTAGAAGTGGGAAATACAGTGAGAGGTATGAAAGCAGGCGGGCTGTCCGCCTTGCTGACACCATGTGTGGGTGTTGGCAGCTAAGCTAAGCTGGCTCCCTCTTGTCAGGTCTTGTCAGTCTTGTAGTATGTATACATCCCATTAAATGTGTGTTATGGGAGGTGCTAGACAATGTTTACACCAGCTTTACAAGGCAACAGTACGGCATGTCTCAGGCTATGTAAGGAGGGGTTGGGGTTAGGGTGTACAATAGGCGGGGTGTTGGGGATAGTAGTAGTAGGCACATGGCTTGGGGGAGAGGATAGGGGCGGGAGTAGGGACAAAGCCACAGGCACAAACCTTACTGTGTAACGGTACATAACATCCTTGGTCTGTGCCCAACATTTACTATCAAATGTTAAAGTATTTAATATTTACAGAGTTTACTGTATCGGAACCTATCGGATCAGACATCATTCAATATGACATTTAATTTTTAAGTCTATGCATTGTTTTTGGTGTGCAGTTGACTGTGGTTTTAAGAGTTGTCAGTTGTAGGTGTGTGATGAGGTTGTTGCCGTGGTCGGGTCTAGTTTGGTCCCATATACAAATGTTGCTCTTGGTATTCTTGTCTCTATACTATGTCTCACGCGGCTTTATTAGTGCATTCACATTTCCACCAGAGGCTAGATTCAGTATTCGTGGGGCCACTTGCATGCATTTCTATTCGTGGTGTGTAACTGGCTGCTTTAGCAGGCATGTCACCAGCATGAATGAATGTGCAAACATGCGATGGCATACAGAGGAATTCAGAGACAGAATGGAATACAGAGACATCAAATCGTTTTTGTATAGCAACTAGTACAATCCATGGGACATGTGCCTGTATTCTCTTCATGTTACGGTTGTGTGTGTTCCACTCCTTCAGTTAACCAGCACACCGTTCCCAGGGGCTCCATTAGTGCCAAAGTGGGGGGGAAACAATTACTCGATTGGCCGGATCGTCGTCAATAGGGGTGTTGGGGTGCCAGGAGGAGCCTGGCCGCCCAGGTGATGAGCGGCTGGTTAGAGAAACTTAAGTATGATGTTGGAGGAGACACCTGGCTGGAAGGTGGGTGGAGTCAACACGTCTGGCAGCCGAACACCTGCTTAAGACACCTACGCAATGAGTGGCTCACCTGGCTTGTTATTCCGGGCGAGCGGGTGTTGTGGTGGTGGTGGGGCCCGCGTCAACCACCACCACCCACTCCACACACCCACATGCCGCCTCCTACCCACAGTACCTTGCCTACCCCACAGACACGCTCGTACATCTCTCTCTGGGAACCTCTGTCCCAGTTGAGAGTTCAGAGGCGGGACCAAAGAGCCGAAGCTGAACCTCCGCAAGTACAATAACGGTGAAGTAGACGAGTACACCCGTGTGCACGCACGCACGCATGCACACTCGCTCAGCCGTGATGAAGCTCCTTGCTTTACTAAGCGCATTATGCAACAAGCAATGTTAATACGCCCACCTGCATCTTCTCAATAAGCAGCAGCAGCAGGCAGGTGAACGGAAGTGGCCTCTCTGGTGGTACACGGGACCCCACACTACAGTCCCATCACTCTCACACACTCACACTAACACACACTCACATCAGGGAAAGCGGGGTGGGGCTGGGAGAGGAGAGGGGACGGGTGGGGCTGGGTGTTGGGGGTGGGGCTGGGAGAGGAGAGGGGGGTGGGGCTGGGAGAGGGGTGGGGTGGGGTGGGGGAGGTGGGAAGGAAGGTTAGGGTGGGATGGTATGTTGTGTTTCCTGTCCCACCGACCTCTGCTTCACAGCTCCCCCCTCTTCCACCACCAGTCCCCTACCACGGACGCTCCTGCACGGGGTCAAAGGGCACATCTGCCCAGGTTATCCATGTTAAACACCTGCCAGGGACACACCTGCTAGGGGCCTAAAGAAGGTTTGTGAAGCCGCGGATTAAATTTACCGTTGTGTCTGTGAAGTGTTGCCAGCAGATTGTAAGCCAGGTTTGACAAGGCCTCTAGTGGGTACATGTGACCCCCAGTGTGTCTACACCTGCTGACTCTCTCCAAGTGTACCAACACTGGTGACTGTCCAAGTGTACCAACACTGGTGGCTGTGTCCAGGTGTACCAACACTGGTGACTGTGTCCAAGTGTACCAACACTGGTGACTGTGTCCAAGTGTACCAACACTGGTGACTGTCCAAGTGTACCAACACTGGTGACTGTCCAAGTGTACCAACACTGGTGACTGTCCAAGTGTACCAACACTGGTGACTGTCCAAGTGTACCAACACT